CATTGCCAGATGATGCTCGAGTCTCAGCAGCAGATCATAGGCGCGTTTGCTGAAGCATTGAGCGAGAAGAAAAGCGCAAATGCGAGGAGGCCCCTTTCGTAGCTCTGAACGGAAAGTCGGAACAAATGGATGATAAGATGGATTCGTATGGTTAATGATCAAATAGCTCTTGAGTGTAGTACGGAACAGAATCGGCAGTGAAATTTGATGCGAGTAAATGACACTAGAGGTTTTAATTGTTGGCATTTTGCAATTTGATCATTGCGTAAGTTAAAATTTGAGTTTGAATGTAGGATAGCCAAATCATGTTTGCAGGACACTTTTTTGTTTTTTTGCAATAGAGAAGTAACTCATCTTTACCTTCCCCTACCTTAGTAATTCGGAGTTGGTCCAAATTGTCTTAGAGAATTGGTTTGATCGATTTAGTACCATTGGTAGTCACAGATAAAGAACCATCACAGTCGATTGATAATAGCGTAATATAAGTGCACATGCGAGTGATAGACACACACAAAAACAAAAAAGGATAAAAATGCAATTCAGAGTAATGCAATATAAAAATGGAGTAGAAACTCAAATCTTAAACAAAACCTCCACGAACTCACATCTGACTAAACTAGCCATCAAAGTCACAGGGAAAATCTGGAAGCAGAGATGTTCATCTGAGACGGGATTTGTTAGTGACGGATAGAATCCGATCCAGAAGCTTACCGAAAGCTCGGGGAATGGTGAATCACAAGCTAGAAGGTGAAAGAGATAAGAATATCACCTCGGAGCAGAGGATTCGATGATGAACAACGATGTTGAGTTATGTAAGAGGGAAAGATTAACGAATAAATTATTATTAGGGTTGATTTCTATTGTGCGGCAAAGCCTTACAATTTATAGTAAAGTTGCAAATTGAATAAGGAAAACTAAATAAGTAAACTATAAGAAATAGGAAAATACGAGGCATGTGATTCCTATCACATCATCACGATAGCTCATGAGGTGAGGTGAAGTACCTTGCCGGGAAATCCACTCGGCGCCGACGTCGTTTATTGAGATAGAATACCACGAAAGGAACACAAACTATGACTCCTGTAATCACTGGGTATCCCCAGATGAAGATGATCTGTGTGATAAGCCCGAAGAAGTCAGCTGTATTTGGGAATGTAACGTTGAAAGATCCGAAATTAGCAATCCCTAGAGCTGCCGTCGAACCGTAGAGGATATTCCACATGGGGAGTCCGACTATGAGGATCATGATCACAAAGAGAGATAAGAAGAAGGCAAATCCGTTGAGGAAAAGAAAAATTGAGGCATTGCCGGAAGGCATAGTGACCATCGTCATCTTGGGGATTTGATGATTGGTCCTGCCAAAATCCGCCAGGAGGACTAAGATTAGCCTGGTATGTAGCTGTTACTATCAGTATAGCCACCACAAGTATCACACTGCGGCTGTCGCTTCTATGTAGGGACCTGTGTCTAGTCCTGTTCAGATTGCTCAGCCCCAAGAGATTGTTCCTTCTCTCAATAAATGATGGTTTGGTGCTCAAATATCCGGCGAGGGTCATTGGGTAACCAAAAAGTAGTCTTTCTTTAGCACCTCGGAAAACACTGCTTGCTTTGGGAGACTGGTGAGTTTGGAGTATGTCCATCGCCGTCTTACCATCCAGGTTCATGGCTTTTACTTTAACAGTTTTACGCAGCAACTTCATGATCTGCAAAAACAAGCATAAGTCACCCATAATTCTACAAATCCCACATTGATAAGAAAATGAGACCTAAATAGATATATGCTAAGGTAATGGGATAACTCCCACTCATTGCCATGAACTTTTTCATAAGAACATAATCGAAGATAGCAAATTCCCAGACGTTAAGAATCTCCAAACAAATACTAGAGTAATAATCGCCAATTCCGACTCAGGAAATATGACACCAGAGCAACATGGGAGCATATCTATTCATTTTCATGGACCAACCTCAATGTCTGAACAAGAATTTATATGGCAGAACATGAACTTTCCGGGAAATAGAGAAACTATATGACCAAAGAGACATGTACCTCAGTTTGATTAACTGATGCAGCAATATGGAAGGCTGTGTTACCATCTTCATCCTTCCAGTCCAAGATTTCCTCCCTGTTTTCTCTCTTGAGCCATCCCAATAGAACCTTAAATGCTTCAATCTGGTGGTTCTTCACAGCAACGTGCACGGCTGTCCACATTTAATCGTCAAATCTTCAACAGAAGAAGGACAAGCAAACAAGAACTCACTCAACAACTCTGCATCACCTATTCGAGCCACATGATGCAAAGGAGTAATCCTTCCTCTTCCCTTGATGCTGACTAAATTGCTGTCAATTGTTATAAACCCTCTCACCATGCGTCTATGGTTGCTTTGCAGAGCTAAATGAATTGGGCTGAAACCGGATGCGTTAAGCTTCAGAGCAAGCGATGGCTTAAGAGTCATTAACTCCATGGCAAAATGAGTTTGCCCTTTCTCAGCTGCAATGTGTAGTGGCGTCTCACAAAAAGCCACTTTATCAAAGTGTCCTAGTAGAATGTTCGGATCTTCTGCAATCAACTCGTAGAGTCTTTCAATATCCCCATCTTGAGCTGCCTTCTTCAATCTCTCATAGATATTCTCATCTTGATTAGTATTTAATACTCCATTGACATCCACAACAATCGACATGACTTCACTAGCCATCCAGGCTTCTTCCTCCACAGTTTTTCCTTTTGAAGTTTGGCTCCTGCAAGACAGACTTCAGTACAAAACACAAAGTCTCCCGTCAACTCCTTGCATATGAAGGACCTTGATTGTCCTAGTTATCCATGTAAAACCATCTCTTTCAGTCAAAAAGTGGCAAGTAGATGGATTACGTAATTTTTTTTTTTAGCATATTAATTGTAAATTTCTTTCTGTCATGTTTGCAGATTAATTTATTTCGGCAACACTCTGGTGGAACCCATTAAGTCTTTTGTCACCAAAACCGTTGAAACTTGAAACCAAAAACTGGTAACTGTGAATTTTCTTAAAAGAGTGTTTTGATACACGGCTAAGAGTATTTAAAAAGATAAACTGGTAAAATATAGTAAAATGACAAAATGTGTTAGAAAGAAACAAATGAACGTAAACCGATCTTAACATATAACAATCTACCCTGACAAGTGGGATCTTAAGTTCATACCTGACACTGCAATAATGAGCAGAGATCTTGAGTTCATAGCTGGGCTGCAATGTTAAATAAAAATTGAAGATAGAAATTCAGTGAAACAAGAAAAATGGTGAGCATACAAAACACGATACAAATGGAAAATTTGTCACTATTGAAAGTTGTAACACATACCTTTCTGGCCTGTAAAATGCTTTCTTTCTGCCAACAATATTTGTCAATAACATTAAAATGCTTTGTAGATAATAAACCCATACTATTCACATTTTAGACTTCCAAGTGAACCGGAATGAAGCATTACTGGAAGCATCCAAAAGAGACAGGTTGATAAAAATAGAGGATTGTGTAATGCAGAATGTAATAAAAGGAAAAGGGAAGAATCATATGCAATGTTGTATGCTCAATAATCTGCAGGTGCTTATAGCTGGTGAAAGGGAAGAGAGCAGTTTGGGATGCAACTAGCAGAGTAAACATAGTCCCCAAAAGAACTCAACTTGTAGCATCATCATGAGATTCTTTCATGTAGCTATCTCCATTAATATCCACTAGAGATATCCAAAATGATATTCTTCTGCAGAAATTTACAAGCTTTTCGACTTTTAGAAATACTCCTATCCAGGCAGGTCCGTCCAGGTAAAAGGGCACTTCCCTACTTCTCTCGGACATTTCGTCGAACACTATAGTTGCATGGACTTAAATCGCGATAATCGATCTCGAAACTAGTGTTCTTCGATATTGTAAGGAAGATTTAGTGTAATGCGTTTAACTGAGGCCTGAAGGTGTCTCGGTTTCGAACCATCTCATAAAAGCTCTACTTCTCGAAACTAGTCTAGACTGTGTATATGAAAATGGCAAAACAGTGACGATGGAGCGTGCAAGTTCACGCGCTATGACCGCGAGTGGGCTATTGAATATATGAACGAGGCGACTCGGCAAAATAAAGGCCACAGATAAATGGGCCTTTTAGGCCCAGCCCAACTATGAAACAGTTTGTCATAGAATGAAATATCCACCAGGACTAAAAGACCAGTTCGTGTTTCTATAATCAATGTGCAATATTAAACCATGATTCTTTATATTTGGATTGTTTTT